GAGAGGTTTGGGAGCCTCCTCCTCACCCGACGCGTGCTGAGTTTTGTGGCGCTGGGGCTGGTTACATGCGTTCATGATGCCCCAGTGTCACAGGGATGTGCTGAGCACCCCCAGGAGAAAATCCGAGCATGGCTGCAAAGGGTGCAGGGCCTCTGGACTCCCACAGGGTGGGCTAGCAGGTGTGTGCTGGGCTATAGGTGACCACTGGGGCTTGGGTGGAGTATGGCAACAGCCCAGGAGTAGGGCCCGAGTGGGGAGACAGGAAGTGAAGCTGTGATGAACGTTTGCTTTCATTTTCCCCTTGCAGAAGGAAAAGACTTTTCCCTTTACACCATCTACAAGAAATTCAACAAGTGCTGCTGGGCAAACCCAAAGTGCTCATTATCCAGTCCTGCTGTGAAGGTGAGTCCCCGCTACGAGGTGCCTGCGAGGCGAGCGAGCCAGCCAGGCTTTCCCAGGGCACGTGAGCCCTGAGCACAGGGTGGGGACGGGACACCCCATCATGGCTGATGGCTGGCCTGCCTTTCTAGGCAGCGTAGGGTCCGTGATAGTGAGCAGACCCTGCCATGCCCACTCCCAGCTTGGCTCACATGATCCCTGTAGGGCTGGAAGGTGATGCAAACTGTGAAGTCCACCTGGAGAGTGATTTTGCCACTTTTCATTCTTCCATGCCTGGTAAGCAGTTTCTGGAGATGGTTGCCCTGCCTGAGAGCAGGCGAGGGCAACAGGACTCCCATTCCTGATGCCATGGGTCTCCTGCACACCTCCTCCTACTCAGGGTGGATTTCTGGGAGTCCCTTCCATCCAGTGACCACTTGGGCATTGCTCCAGGAGCCTCGTACCACAGTGCCAGGGTACGAGGCTGCTCCAGGACACCCACAGATCCCTCTTGGCAGCACCAGGCCAGAGCTTTGTGTCTCTGCCTGGCTGACATCACTTGCCCTGGCTCCACCCTTCCCTGCCTGCACTCCTTCCCCAGCCGATTTATCTCGCTGCAGTGGCTGGCCAGGAGAAATTGTCTTCTCCTGCTGGGTCACAGCTGGCTTCAGGCCGTGCCAGCCTGGCAGCTGGCATGGCTTGGAGCCTGGGAGGGCAGAGAGGCTTGAAGAAAATATTAATGTCACTTCTGTCTTCCCTGGGATGCCCTGTCCTTTTCCAACGCTGTGGGTTTTATGGGTCGAATAAAAGATCTCAGAGAAGGTGCCCCAGTTTCCTGCTCCAGCACCCAGCACTAATCACTGTTGCAGTGAGGGACACCAGTGAAATCACACTTGGCATCTTTTGTCTCCCCAGATGCTGTCTCCTGGAGAAGCTCGGTAACAGGCTCCCTTTTCATCCAGGGCCTGATAGAGCAGTTTCAAAACCATGCCTGTAACAGCGACTTACAGGAGATCTTCCAAAAGGTGAGGCTTTGTAGTTAACTGCAGGTGTGCCAGCAGACGCAGCCATGCCAACTGTCAGAAATACTGCTCAGAGCAGAGCTCAGGCCAGGGCAGGCCATTTGTCAGCAGGCCCCTTGGGAGACAGCAGCTCTGTCAAAAAGGAGTCTGGTTTGGCCTGGAAAGTCAGCTGGATCTCTGCAGGCATCAGCACCCTGCCACGTGGTGGGCACACACGAGCCCGGCATGTTGGCGCAGCCCATGGCATCCCTTGTGACATCAAACACATGGCTGGAGATGCCCCTGGGGATGACTCCTGATTCCCTGCACCCTTCCCATGCTGGGAACGGAGCTGCTGTCATTTCTTGCTGCTGTCTCTCTCACCCCAGGTCCAATATTCCTTTGGAAAATTCCTTTGGCAGTTGCCATCACAAGAACAGGCTACAATGCTCAGAAAGTTCTGCCTCTTCCCAGGCCACTCATCTCCTGCCCATGGTGTCTCTTCACCTTGCACCTTTGTAGCAGCCTTTTGTCTGCCCCAAATGCGGTGCCCAGCCAGTGGGGAGGAGTGGGGAGAAATTCCCCGCTGCTCCTGGGCTCCAGACCTCGTGGCTCAGACAGGATATCCAAAGGATTTGTGTGCCGATAGCAGAGCCGGGCAGTGGGCTGACTCCATCCCCATCTCCCAGCGGGCCATAGGAGAGACAGGCACTCAACTTGTTTCGGTAGCCCATGTCTCAGGAGCTTCTTGCTCTAATGTTCTTCACAGGTGAAAAAATAATACATGGACAGCAAAAGTGTTTGAATTTTGGGATAATGCAGCAGGAAGCTCAGGCTTAAGGCCAACGCAGCCCTGCTCCAGAGAGATGCACTTCTTCAGAAAAGGGAAGGACAAGAGGAATAGCCAACAACAGCTCTGCAGAAACACAGTGAATCTCCAAAGCAGCTACTGGTGCCCCCTCTGCTAGGCAATTACAAACAGACCTGGAATAAAATAATCCGTGGTCTCCTCTCCTCCCTTTCTTTTGTGGCCTCCAAGGAACCCCAAATGGAGCAAACTCTTCCCAGGGAGCAGCAGAGACACCTGGCTCTGGAGCACCAAATGCAAAGCTGGTTAGTGGTCTAAGTGTCCCCAGAGCCTGTCCCCAGCTGCGACAGAGACTGTCAGCCCCAGAGCCGCTTCCATCATGTCTCCGGCTTTACCTGTTGCCTAATAAAGGGATTTTCACCGCAGACAGCACCACCCCTCTGCCTTCAGCCCGCGGTGGGTGGGTGGCTGTTACAGCTGGCAGCTGTTACGTTGCCTTCTTGGGGCCACGGAGTAGGCAGGAGGCGAGGAATCGGAGGGAGCTCAGGGCGGAGATGCCTGCCGTTAGGGCAGGCTGGGCAGACACACCCCAGGGGCATTTCCATGCCTCCCCCTGGCAGGCTGACAGCATCTCCTTGCTCAGGAATCAGCTTCCCCCCGCTCCCCAATCCTGCCGCTGCCCCTGAGGTGGAGGAAGGTCGCAATTCCCCCTGGGATCCAAGAAAGATCCTCAATCCTGTGTCTTACATGTGCTGCTCCCACAGCTCGGCGTGTTAGGGCCCAGCCCAGCTGTCACCTCCCACCACCATCCCACCAGAGCCCCTTCCTGTGCCCAGCACCACCCTCCCTGTCCTCCACAGCCACATCCAAACCATTTTCTGCCTTGGCATGGATTCAGCTTTATTGCACATTCTGCAAAGTCACAGCCAGGTGGTCTGGCAGCAGGAAAACGCCAGGGCTCTCCTGCCCCCTCCTAGTGTCCGAGACACTCCAACGTGGGCAGGACAGGCTGCGCAGGAACAGCAGTGTCCTGGGCTGGTGCCACCCTGTGAGGTGGCAGGAGAGCTCAGTGGGATGTAGGTGCCTCTCTGCTCCAGCTCCAGGCAACCTGGGGTGGGAGAAGGCCTTGCAGGCAGGATGGGACTGCAAAGTGGGCAGCTGGTCCAGGCTGAGCCCCTTCTCACAGAGCCCCAGGTCCCTGCCCGGAGCTCCTCAGGTCCCACATGGTGCTCGCAGAAACCCTGGGCCCCAGCGCTATGGTGGTGGCAGGAAATTGAGAACAGCAGTAATGAATTCTTCAAATTTATCCTGATGAACTATGTGGCCTGCACCTTCGATGTACTGGACATCCGCCTTGGGGAAGAGGCGCTGGATCTCTGGGTAGTCTTTGGAGCTGCAGGACAAGGGAACACACCATGGGAAGCATGGTCAGAGGTCCATCCAAGTGCCTTCTCTCACCCTCCCCAAGCAGAGGGAGATCCCAGGTTTGATCATGTCCCCTTCCCTGCTGGGAAAGCCTGGGACTGCCCCCAAGTTTCCCCTCGCTCTCCAACGGGTTGGTGTCACCAGCTGCTGGAGGCACAGAGCTCACTCCAGGACCTTCCCCATCTCAGGGGCTTCCTCCCACCCTGCAGAGCTGCAGAAGAGCGCAAGGGGTCAAACCACAGACTTCAAACCGGTTCTCTCCAGTCTCACCTGATATAGGGTGAGTTGGATCCTCCCAAGAAGAGTGCAGGGCCCGGATACGGCTTGTGGAAGATGGGGACTTTCATGAATGCTGCCAAGTGGCGGGAAATAGCCTCCAGGTTCACCCGCCAGACGTAGCGGCCTTCCACCTCCACCAGGTTGGTGAGGAGGAACTGTCTCAGCTGCGGGAGCTGCCACAAAAGGGGATTGTACCCTCTTCTGTAAGAGCAACAAGCCCTCGAGATGTCCTGGCACCCTCCATCCTCCCCTCTGCCTGTCTCCCATGCTGTCACATTCCCTATTGCTCCTGCAGCCCCGGTGTGATGTCCTCCAGTGGCGAGTAAGGAGGGGTGGAATGAGTCCCACTGGGACCATGGCCCTAAAGCCCTGTGCTAGGGACAGGATGGGAGGAGAAATCTCATCCAAGGAGTGGGATTTCCTACCTGGACCACTGGACGCAGCTGATCATCGGCCAACTGGCGGGCCGCAGAGCGGGACAGACCGTCCGGGATCTTAACCGACTTCATGGCAGAGATGTAGGCAGAGAATTCGGAAACAGGTGCAGTTGAGACGGGACTAATGTCTACGGAGATGAGGCGCTCCACCAGGTCTGGCTGGGGACACAAGCAGGGCAGATGGATGCCAGCCGAGATTCCCCCAGCGGGACCAGGCACAGGGTTCTGCTCCCAGTCAGACTCCCTGGAGGCTTTTAGCTCCCTCCTGCCTCTGCACAGACTCCATGTACCCTTCCCCAAGCTCCTATCTGCCTGTGCCTTGGCACGGGAAATCTCTAACCTCCCTTCACCAGGTCTGGCTGGGGACACAAGCAGGGCAGATGGATGCCAGCCGAGATTCCCCCAGCGGGACCAGGCACAGGGTTCTGCTCCCAGTCAGACTCCCTGGAGGCTTTTAGCTCCCTCCTGCCTCTGCACAGACTCCATGTACCCTTCCCCAAGCTCCTATCTGCCTGTGCCTTGGCACGGGAAATCTCTAACCTCCCTTGCAATACACGCCGGAGCGTGGGCTGGCGGACAAAGACTTGCTGCTGTTCCCACAGCCCGGCTTACAGCTCTGAGCAGGACAGAGCCTCCAACCATGATGGAGAAAAGCCACCCCATGCGGGGCTGTGGGCAAGGCTGGCACCACTGCACAGCCCCCAGAGGTG